CACCAGTCGTCCTCTTTTCGGCAGCAATCCAGCCTTCGTGCTCCGACACCAGTCGTCCTCTTTTCGGCAGCAATCCAGCCTTCGTGCTCCGACACCAGTCGTCCTCTTTTCGGCAGCAATCCAGCCTTCGTGCTCCGACACCAGTCGTCCTCTTTTCGGCAGCAATCCAGCCTTCGTGCTCCGACACCAGTCGTCCTCTTTTCGGCAGCAATCCAGCCTTCGTGCTCCGACACCAGTCGTCCTCTTTTCGGCAGCAATCCAGCCCTCGTGCTCCGACACCAGTTGTTCTCCTTCCGGCAGCGATCCAGAGGTGAAGACGCGGCGACGCTCAACCCTCAGTCTTTCAGTCCTGTCGCCTGCTGCTTCTGCGTCCCCTCGCTACGGCTCGTTCTCTGAAAAAGCCACAGCTGCCCCTTTTAGCATCCTTGTCCCGTTGCACACTGCTAAACTAATTGGAAACACCTGCGCTGCAACTGGGGCGTCTCCAACTGGGAGTGGCAGCGTCACCTCAAAACAAAACAAGAAAAAAATCATAGAAAACATGCAACACATAAAAAAAGAAAGCACACGGCCACATGTCCACAAATGTCCATTTTCACATGTTTTTGCCTGCTGCTTTTGCTGTGGCCCAGTTGTACTTGAAAGTGGGAATTTCCCACTTGCATGTTGTAAACTTAAACTAGAACGCCCCCTCCAATGGGAATTCTCTGTAGGAAAGTTCAGAATTCAAGATATCTACTCTGTGCTACTCAGCAGTCTCAGTTTTACTTTTAATTGTATTTCTGTGTGATTTTATTTCACATTCAGTCAGTTGTACAAGTAGTACTCAAGTGGTAATAATTAAAACTCTGTTTCTATGCAGGAAAAACCACAAAGCTCAGTTGTTTAGTGGTGCTCAGCCATAGCAATGAGATGAGGAAGATGACATTTTATGTTTAATCAAAGTTAAACACAAACCTTTGAAGCTAATTGCAACTGACCATTAACCATAATGTTTTTGTGGCCCTCAAAACTGAATTTGACACTCCGATCATAGTTTGGTGTCACAACAGAGACAGTAATGTAATATGAATCTTTCTCCCTCCTTTTTCATTGTTCTTGTTTTGTCATCAGATACAGTTCGCACAGCATCGCACATGAACAAATGGACCCCATTTTCACAAACAGGCATGTTTTCACAACGCTGGTAGACGTTCTGACTCCAAGCCAGGTCGCTCCGGAACACTGTGTCAACGGTCTAACCAAAACACAGGGATTTCTGTTTGTATCCGCCACCAATTTTTATTCCTGCACAAAAAATATAAAACTGTTTGTGTAGGGGGAAAATACATAACTATTTTAAAATACCAACACAAAAAACCTGAAGGTCTAGACAGTTAAGATTAGCTGCTCAATGATTCAACAGATATCATTGTATAATCAGCCCACACAGACTGCTGAAATAGAAAGCATACGCATGAGAAAAAAATAATCTTTTTTAAGTTCTTACAAAGCAAAACAAATAGGCTCTTTTCTCGCTGCAGATACAAAAAAGAAAAGAAGAAAAATACAAGCTGAGTTGTGGGCGAACACGACCCTGTGTGCCAAGTAAGATCTTCGAAGATTCTAGACGTCACGTGGTGCCTGCAGTTGTAAAAAAAAAATCAGCTGAATTAAAGAGCAAAACAAGCTGAAATTTTTATTCAAATAACTTGAAAGCTTCAAGTAAAGTATTTAACGTACTTTAATTATCTAAGGAATCCTGTGTACACTGCAGTGTAAATGAAAGGAATGATTTGTATCATACCAGTTTCTCATGAATAGCATTCTTTGAAGAAATGAACATCGCCCAACGTCTACTAAAGTGTTGAACAGAGATCTATAAAGCTGACTGGGTTGTTGCCACTTCACATTGTAGTTAAAGTGTGTGTGTGTGTGTGTGGGGGGGGGGGGTAATCTGGTGTCCTCCCACAGTTCAGGCTGATCCAGGTCCAGGACTGATCTGTGACCTCTGAGGGTTTCACCTCCCAACAGGAAGTTAATAAATGTTGTGAAACCTTTGATGCTTCTGGGCCATGAGTCCCTCAGCAGGAGCATTTAATCTGAGGGGGAACGTCCTGCTTAAAGAAAGATTAAAAAACAAACAAATAAAGAAAAAAGTCCAAGTCAGACCATATGGATAGGTTTAACATAATTCTGGATTGTTTTAGATAAATTCTAAATTAGTTTCTGAATTAGTTTGAGATAAATCTGGATTAGTTTATTAATTAGTCTAAAATAAATCCTGGATTAGTTTTTGGATTAGTCTGAAATACATCCTGGATTAGTGTGAGAAAAATTCTGGGTTATTTTGATATAAATCTGTATTGTTTTAGATAAATCCTGGATTAGTTTCTGGATTAGTTTGAGAAATCTAGATTCATTTCTGGATTAGTCTGAGATAAATCCTGGATTCATTTCTAGATTAGTTTTAAATAAATCCTGGATTCGTTTCTAGATTAGTTTTAGATAAATCCTAGATTAGTCTGAGATAAATCCTGGATTGTTTTGAGATAAATTCTGGAATATTTTAAGATAAATCTGTATTGTTTTAGATAAATCCTGGATTAGTTTGAGAAATCTAGATTCTTTTCTGGATTAGTCTGAAATAAATCCTGGATTAGTTTCTGGATTTGTCTGAAATAAAATTGGATTAGTTTGAGATAAATCCTGGATTAGTTTGAGGTAAATCCTGGATTAGTTTGAGATACATCTGGATCTGTTTGAGAAATGTCCTGGGTTAGTTTTAGATAAATCTGGATTAGTTTCTTGATTAGTCTGAGATTAATCCTGGATACGTTTGCGATAAATCTGATTTAGTTTCTGGAGTAGTCTGAGATAAATCCTGGATTAGTTTGAGATACATCCTGGATCTGTTTGAGAAATGTCCTGGGTTAGTTTTAGATAAATCTGGATTAGTTTCTTGATTAGTCTGAGATTAATCCTGGATACGTTTGCGATAAATCTGATTTAGTTTCTGGAGTAGTCTGAGATAAATCCTGGATTAGTTTGATTGGTCTGAGATAAATTCTGGATTAGTTTCTGGATTAGTTTGAGATAAATCTGGATTAGTCTGAGATAAATCCTGGATTAGTTTGATTGGTCTGAGATAAATTCTGGATTAGTTTCTGGATTAGTTTGAGATAAATC